AAAACACTTCAAGAAGAGTTATCCAGCACCATGGTCTGTCCTCAAAACAGTTCAGCAGATCCACTAACATACTGCTCTGGGGCTGCAAGTTAAATCCAACAAATCTTAAGAGCGAATGAAAGCCACTGTTAGTGGGAAGAATGTTCCACTTCTTCAATTTTTTTGTAGTTTAGACATGTTACATTTTCAGATTTGGAAGCAATTTGATCATTCCCATATGTATAAATCCAGAGAAGAGTGAATAGAGGAGCTGCTGCTTTCAATAGCAAATTGAAGAAATACAAGTTGTTGCAGTCTCACTCTGCTTTTCTACTCCTCCCCTCCACTAACACGATCAGCAGGACACCCATCACTTGAGGGAGGAAAACAGTTTTCGGCTAGATCAGCTCCCTCAACTAGCTTACATATAGTTACACAAACACTAGTGCTGGCACAAGGGCCAGGGGAGACAACACGCAGCCAAGAAATGGGGTAGGACTGCAGCAGCCAAAGTTGACACTGGCATAAGCTGCTGTGGTACTGCACCTCCAGAAGGTGATGGGGTTGCAATGGTACCCGGCTTTTCAAATTTCGTTCTGTGGTGCAGATGCCCACTGAACCTTATGTTTAAGATCAAACAGAAGTTAATAAACTTATATTTATATAGGTGGTTAGACTTAATGTATGATGTTCACTGACCTTGAAACAGAAATATGCTGGCATATTGCTTGAGCAGCTCAATGATATGCAAGAAGGAATGCAGATGTTAAGTACTGGCACAGTTCAGTAGTCCACATCCAACGTAAAGCAAGCAAAAGTCCTTCCATGGCACAAACAAGTCACCTACTGAGTAGAAGTAAGATACGTGAACTGAACTACTCAGATTTTACATAACAGGTTAGCTGTATATGTTAGACCAGCAATAGACTTTTAGGCTTGGTTTCTAGCATCACCACTTACCTAGATGAGACAACTGAGGATTGAAGTTGTTTATTTCTGTGGATGCTATATCCCATTAGTCTGGAAAAGAATAGTACTGGGGGAAGGGCGCTGGCGTCAACCTTTTAGAATCAAATCAATAGTCTGCATCAATATTATGTTTGCAGTTTTTGGCTGTTCCTATCACACATGTGAAAGCATGAGCCTTGGATTGTTGAAGATGCCTTGAAGTTTGGGTATTATTTAGAAAATCAACCTAAAGTAGTTCATAGTACATCAATTTTGAGATTTACAGAAATAGTAATAACTATTTCCAGAGTTCATGTTAGCACAACTCACTATTTGGAAGAGGTAAATAATGACTTGCATTCTTCCATTTGGCAGCGAACAAAGTTGGTATTTCAATTATAGCTGATACTTCACTAATACCACTAGCCATAATAGAATCTGTCAGTTGAGCTAGCTTGCATTTCAAATTACCAATGCAAATTGCTCTTATTAATCGGTGCAGGGCAAAGGCATTCAATTTCAGGATGAATCATCCTCTCCATTGGGAGGCAGAAATCAGAGTGCAATCATTTTATGCTTGAGCTGTTGGAAATGCAGTGTTGTGACTACTACTACTACTACAAGCTGCTGTCAGTAGGAATGGAGAAGCTAGCACTCAGACTGAAGGGTCACTCTAGTTTTTCTGACAGCAGTCACAGCCATTTCTCACATGATTTTAACTTTTGAAATGGAATTCTGATCAGATGCTTTTCTACCATGTTGCAAGCTGTGTGATTTTGATCGTTTAAGAAAAATAAACTAATTGCATCTATTACATAAGCTACATACTGTGTGCATAATCCTTGCACAATGGACAAGATTCCATTTCTTGTTTGATGATTTTGTGCTCTGATGTTGGTTTCACACAAGCAACTTATTTGAAGCGTTCTGAATGAACACTGTAACTAGTAATTGAAAAAGGGACTTTTAGATCATAACACATCTGTGAGAAATGCTGTGAAGCAGACATTATCCTAACCTTGGTGCGGGCAACCTGTCTAGTTCCCCATAAGCCTTGTTCTCTATGACTTGACTTGCTTGACCAAGTGATTTGCTGCAGGTAACACTGTCATCATGGACTCAACTGCAATGACTGGGTCATCCACGTTCTCTTTCCATAGGCACTTGCTCGGACTTCTCTACAGCTTAGGTGGTATCTGAGTGAAGATGAGGCTGACTGCCTACATCCAGGATGCTCTTGGATTAAACCGACCAGACTTTCTCCTGCCTGCCATGGAGGGGGCTACTTTCCCTGTGAAGAGTGGACCCAAAGCTGTAGTGATACCGTGGCCTTCCTTCTGCAGGAGTTGCATGGTTCTTTCAGGGTTTCCTGGAGTTCTGAACATTTACATTGTTTTGTGAGATTACACCAGTGTCTATACACAATTTTAAACAATATTTTATTTAAATTTCATGTATATGTTTTGCCACAAGGTTACAAATTCATTGCACAAAGCAGTCAAACAGAAGTGCAATACACTATAGGTAAAACAAGGAAATAAACTACAAATATCTATGGTATGGTGGAATCAGTCATATAAAAGTATTCTCCATATCTTTAAGAAAAGGAATATATTTTTAATCCATGCTATAGCATGGAAAAAATAGTAGAAATTAGCAGGCAGGAAAGTGACAACACAGTAGAAAGAAAAAAGGCTGGAAGGAATAAGGAAGCATCTTACATTTCAAATATGTAATGAAGTTACTATCACAGTACTAATTCTGTGAAAAGAGACAATGGATAACAGTTTTCCAATGGCTTCTGAAGCTGTTAGCAGAAGTACTGATGGGAAGAAATTATTTGCCCTATTGAATTCATCATTTTACCAGTAAAACAAGTCCTGATGCCAGTCAAGCAGTATCAGGAAGACAAGACTTCCAAGTCAGTGCAGTAATTCCCCATTGTAGATGCATAACCAGGATCAGTATTACTGATAAACTTTTCTTAAAAACTTGGCTTGTAGGCAACTAGATCATTCAACATGATTTGTAAAGAATTCAGTAAGTGGCAGTAGTATATTCAGAATATACTTATCAAGGAGACCACCTTATCAGGAGAATTAATGAAGCTTCATTTTGAAGCAATAATAAATCAGTCTTCTTCCAGAAACCCTACTTTTATATGGAATGCAGAAATGGATGGCAGGAACAGTCTCAAGTGACTCTAGAAAACAACTGACTTGCTGTTTCCATTCTGTTCATGCTTAGCCTTGTTTTTTAGTTGTTAAATACTTTGTGTGTTTAAAAATCACAGAATCGTAGAATACCAGGTTACACAGGACGTTAAGCATCATCTGGTCCAACCTTTCTGGGAAAAAGCACAGTCTAGACAAGATGGCCCAGCACCCTCTCCAACTGAATCTTTAAAGTGTCCAATGTTGGGGAATGTACCGCTTCCCTTGGGAGGTTATTCCAATGGCTGATTATTCTCATTGTGAAAAATTTTCCTCTTGTGTCCAATTGGAACCTCCCCAAATGTAACTTACACCCATTACCCCTCACCTTTTCCATGTGACTTCTTGTAAAAAGGGAGGCTCCATTTTCTTTGTTGCCACCCTTTAAATACTGGAACATGGCGATAAGGTCTCCCTTAAGCCTTCTTTTCTCAAGGCTGAACAAACCCAGTTCTCTCAGCCTTTCCTCATATGGCAGGTTTCCCAGTCCTTTGATCATCTTTGTGGCCCATCTGCTGTTCTTAGATCAATTACGGGACTTTTCTTTTATTCTATACTAAGGCTAAATTCTGTAGATATCATATCAGTAAATAGAAGCACATATCGTGAGATAAAAATCACAATTAACAGCAAGTATCATGAGAAGGCATTTACGAGCAAGCACTGGGAAATGACCCTAAAAGATGTTGTCCTGCCATCTTACAATTTCATCATGAATCTCTGGATATTTAATTAAAATTCCAGGGTTAAGCCATATTAGCCTACCAAGAATGGGCCTATCATAACATATGCTGTTCTGTATAACAATAGCTTCTAACCTCACATACCTTATGTATTTGAAAACGTGTTCCAAAGGCTGAAACAGCAGATTTATAATAAGAAGTTTTCTTTCTAATCTCATGCCTATGAGTCCTTTGACAGTGGTCTGATTTTAGCCAGCTAGAATAAAAATAAAATAATAAAACCTATTATTGATAAGGATCATTGTTTAAGTGTGAAATAGATTTCCACAAAGCTATGAAACATTCTAACACAATTTCTATTTAAATATTCATTTTACACTTCTCAGACTGCAATGAAAATATCAGAACAAGATCTCACCCTCCGAGTAGCCAGAATTCCTGCTTTGTCCTGGCTTATTCTTACTCCCAGCTTCATGAACATGTAGCAAACAGCAAATTATAGAAAAGTATCTACAACATTGCCTGGTCACTGGTACCTGAACACAAGACACCTACCTCCACCCTTCAGGAACTCTCTAGTTGCCTACTGTCCTGGTCAGGGTTCAAAAATAAGAGTTTAGCACTGCAGGATGGGTCCCTAAAGGTAGTGGTAGGCATGAAATCCAAATTGAAATAGCTATGTTATCCATGTTGTCTTAAAAACAAAACAAAACCAAACCCCATTCTTCTATATATACCAGGGGGGTGGTCTCCTCTGACTAAGCCATCGACGGATGATGAAAGTTGTATGATTTAACAAGAAGTACTATCTCAAAAACATCTCAGCACAGCTGTCTTAATCATATTCTCTAGTTCCTCTGTGGAACTGCTGATTCTGGACTCCAGTATTTATATAAAGTGCCACAATATGGGTACCAAAACCATGCGTCATGTATTACAGTATTTGTTAGGTGTGAATACTTTCCATTAACAATGTTGGTCCTGGTTTAGTCAAGATGACACAGAATTTATCACTTCAAATTCTAAATGCTTTTGCTACTACATTTAAAATCTACATTAACTTTCAAGTATGCAGGCAAATTCATAGAAATTACATAAAAAATTAGTATAGCTTTACATAAAAAACCCCAAAAAGATAACTAGTTGCATTGCAGATTACGCCATATATATCTCACTAGACTCCATAGGTCTTATGATTCATAATATATTATTAAATATGATACAACTACTGTCAGACTAAAAGGTTTTGACACAGAAGGAAATCCAAAGGACCTGGCTGTCTGAAGCTGTCGATTATGTAGGTCTAGGCGACAGGAATTTTGTACTTCTTCTTGTGGAATTTCACTTTCACCTACATCCGCTAGTCCACTAATGTTCCGCACCTAGAAAAATTCAAAAGATTACCCCTGAAAGCCAGAGTGGCACAACAGCAAAAAGCTTTATGCAGCTAGCAAATTCAAAGCTATTTTAAGTGAACCAACTTTTTGTATTGCCAAAACACATCCGAATGTGAGGAAATCAACATCATTATCCTGATGTTTGCATTCCTATGAAACACTTCCCAGAATTCAGCACAGGTACATTACAGGCAAGAGTCACAGGTCTGCCTGTTCTTTATCTTGGCTCCCTCCACACATGGATGCATGAGCTGGAAAACTTTAAACAAACAAACTCCTGAGCTTTCTTCCCTGAAGTCAGCTCAAAGTCGCAAGACAGAGCTTCAAATATCTTTAGTTTAGAAGGGAAAAATTACTAAATTTCACAGATCAGTTGGTTAGATGCGATGAATTTCAACCTCTTCGTAATATCAGTGTGCCACACGTGCAACTTGGCATTAGGTATTTTGACAGATTAACTGGAACAGTATCAAATTCCCTGATTTCTGTTCTAACATACCCCAAAAAGGCAACTGGAAAAAAGATCACTGTGAAATATATGTTGCCTATAAGGCTTTGTGTATAGTATCTACTTACTTATCCCTGTAAATAAAAACAACAGGAGGCAAGCAGTTTGCAAGTTTCAACAGAGGCTTTTGAAAAAGTTACCATTTAGGGGGTGCTTATTTTCAAACAGTCTCTCTCCTTTCCTCATCCTTCTGGATTATCTTCTACCATTTACACTTAAAGCTCATTATGATCTAGTTGTTATATTTATGGCTTGTTAGTGATCTGGTCATGGCAGGAGCCTTTTGGATAGCAGTCCAATCCCATGACAAGAATTAAATTGATTTGCAGGAGTCAGCATTCCTTACTGCACCAGCGAACACAGCCAGACTATGATGCTGGTACATCCACAATTTCTCCAAACCATGAAGTGATTCTATTTAGAAGTCAGCGATGTGTACTTATCAGATTACCACAGACAGAAAAGGCTCCAAAGAGCTCTGTCCACTCTCTCTCACTTTCTTTTATTCTGCTAACACTACACTCTCTTGGCATCTTGGTTTCTTTCCCAGCATTTGGAATTACTGCATTAAGTGCTTATGTTCCCTCATAGCTCTCTCATTGAGCCAAGAGAAAAAAAAAAAAAGCAACAACAGTTCCTCTCTCCCTCTTAGTAAGACTCAAGATTCAGTTTAGTTTTTAATCTTACATTTTCCACTTCCCTGAAGACACGAAGAAAGTTGTCCCTTAAGACCCCTTTCAGTTCAGTTTCATTCCATCCTCTTCTAAGAAGTTCCTCAATCAAAGAAGGGTATTTAGAAACATCTTCCAGTCCTTCAGGGAAACTGTTGGCAAGAGTCACACAAGAATATTCAACACACATCACTGAAAAAATGTAGAAAAAGATTTTTAATAAGTCTTTTGCACATCTTCACTTTTGGAATGATCTTACTTTGGACACAATTCTTCCTCCGAGAAGTTAAAAAAAACAATTAAGAATTCAACTAACAAACAGAAGCAGGACTGGGACACAATTAAAGGTTTTTTCTGCACAGAGGATCCCATTAGCAGAACAAAACTGTGTATTCTGGAATGAAGATGCACTTGTGTATAGGTAGAACAGCTGCATGGAGGATATCAAAACAAAACAAAAGGAAAAAAAAGCCCAAACTCATGTATACATTAATCCATTCTTTATATCTGGCCTTTAGAGTAAAAGGAAACAGCTGCATCACAGATGGAATTGGTGCAATCCACTTGTGTAACTGAGAACAAAAGGGAACCTGCAAACACATGCTGAGCTAAGGAGTTGCAGGCAATTTTGTGCACTCTGTTTACAAAGTAATTTTTCCAAAGAAAATACAATTATAATAATAGTATTGTTTTGAATTCAGCAGTGAAAAGAAAGCTATTCAGAACTGTCCACTGAAGAAATTACAATAAGCAAAATTGACCTAAGTCTTGTGCTAATTCTTAACAGAATAAAAACAAATTGGAAGTAAAAAGCTGCAAAACCTGCATTAAACAGCTGTTTTAAATTCCATTTCCATGAGCCTTGGACTTTGTTTTGAGATAACTAATATTTTCTGTTATTTTTCTTTTCTGTGGAGGTGTGGCGACATGCAGAACTCAAGAAATCCGTGCCGTTACTTTCTACCAGGACTCAGGACCTTAACAACTCCACAACCAACTAATGGACTTTGAAAAAATGCATACAATAAACTGTGTCCTTTTGTTGCAAACTGTGTTTTTATTTTGGAGGTTACAGTTTCAGAGCTATGATTAGCTAACTCTCATGGGAGCTGACACATTGGTTTTGTGGTGCTGCTTTACAGATGTGAGTCTGACTGTGACTTTCATACCCAACTGTGTCTGACCCCAGAAAAAAAAAAGAAAAAAAAAAAAAGGAGATGATGATTCAACAGAAAGAAAAGAAAAAAAAAAGTTTACGGTTACACCAACAAATGCCACCTGATCTGCATTTATTTCCTGTGCTGTTACACTAGCCCAGGAGTGAGCAGGACAGGTTATGTTGTAGGCTGTTCACCATGCTCTGCTTGCCTCAAACAATTCCCAGGCCCCAAAAGCAGGAGTGGTTTCACAGCCCCGAAACACTTAGGGCTTTCCCTATTAGAAAGTAATAGCAGAGGAAAGAGTTTTACAGCATCTCCCTGAGCTCATCTAAAGGCTGAGACAGCTTTTCTGTCATTTGTCTTTGGCTTCTGGAGGAAAGCACCCTCTGTCACTGTTTTTGTATGTGCAAACCCCTGCCTAGAACACACAATTGCAGAGTTGGTAGGGCATTAGGATCCATTTCCGCATTTGTAGCACTGCTTCATACTGTTCTAAAAAGGAATCATTGTGCCCTGTTTCATAAAACCTGTTTTAGTACTCATCACAAGACAACTACAACTTGCTACAACTTTTTTAGTCTGCCTTCTTTTTTTGCGAAAAGAAATCAAAACCTTCATGATTTAAGAAGCAGATGTCATCGTATATACAATTTTACTAACCGTTCCACTCCGTCGTAGTCACCACCAATTCCTATTGATTCTGAACCTGCAATTTTCTTTATGTGGTCAAAATGATCTGAAGGAAAATATCAAAGAAAACAATATCTAAACATATGGCAAAAAGAAATAATACAGCTCAGACATACTGGCACTAGGCGACTGTTCTCCTTAATCATGGATTCTTAATCAAATCCTTTTTTAAAAAGAGTCAAAAGACATCCTGATAACACAGGTTAAAATTTAATAATGCATTTGACATATTCTGGATATTTACTGATGCTTAACTAGATGTTATCTGTTATTAAGCACATCAGGCAGCAGTCTTCACAACAACAGCTATACTGATGAGATGCAAATGAGGAAAAAGACATGATCATAGAATCAGAATAGTCTGGGTTGGAAGGCACCTTTAAAGGCCACCCAGTCCAAACCTCTTGCAATAAGCAGGGACATCTTCAACTAGATCAGCTTGCTCACAGCCCCATCCAACCTGACGTTGAATGTTTCCAGGGATGGGCATCTACCACCTCTCTGGGCAACCTGTTCCAGTGTTTGATCGCCCTCATTGTAAAAAATTTCTTCCTTATATCTAGTCTAAATCTTCCCTCTTTTAGTTTAAAACCGTTACCCTTTGTCCTATCACAACAGGCCCTGCTAAAAAGTTTGTCCCCATCTTTCTCATAAGCCCTCTTTAAGTGCTGAAAGGCCACAATGAAGTCTCCATGGAACCTTCTCTTCTCCAGGCTGAACAACCCTATCTCTCTCTCAGCCTGTCCTCACAGCAGGCCTCATAGTTCCACCCCTCTGATCATTTTTGTGTCCCTCCTCTGGACCTGCTCCAACAGGTCCATGTCTTTCCTGTGCTGAGGGCTCCACAGCTGGATGCAGTACTCCAGGTGGGGTCTCACCAGAGCAGAGTAGAGGGGCAGAATCACCTCCCTCTACCTGCTGGCCACGCTGCTTTTGATGCAGCCCAGGATACAGTTGGCCTTCTGGGCTGAGTGCACATGATTATCACAGAACATTAATTTCCAACAAATAGCCCACAGATACCAACAGATTTTTCATTATCCATTACATACCTATGTTTTCCGCTATTAATTACAAAGGCTTAAGATGTTTTTCAGAAAGTAACAACTACTTTGGGATTAATGGTTCTTGGCTCCATTTGGGAGCATCATGTCCTCCAGCTACACACCTTGCACCTCTTGTTATAGTTTAATGACTATTAGCTCCAAAACTACCTAGTGCTGGGGTAAGGTGTGGAAGGAAATAAACAAGCAGTATAATTAACATGATCTCAAAAACGATGCAGACACCAGGAAATTCATAGAAGCCACCCACAAAAACTGCAGTATATTAACTTCAAACCTGCAAGGGTAGAAACATTAACAACTTTTCTGCCACAGGCCAGTACATTTGCATTGAAAGTCACCATGATAATTCCCTTGTTCTTTTTCTGAAAGATATGAAGAGACAGGTGATGAGTTGACACTCATGTGTCCTGCAGACCTCATAGGCATCTCATATAGATCCTTCTCCATCCATCCATCCATGACCATAAGAACACTCTATAAGTCAAAGCTCGGATGGCGACACAAGGCTTTGCCTCTCTGTCATTCCCCCTGGATTCATTATATACTCATGTAGCCTGAAATCAGCAGAAGTCCAGTAACTACATCAAACTCAACCAGAATTTCAGAGTATTTGCCAACACTTCATTTTTGTAGCCAAAGGCAAAACACAAGCAAAGAAAATGTCTCAGAAGTGAACATGTAACTTGCTGAGCAGGGATCTGTGTATAAATCCAATTAAAAGATGAGAGGGTTAAAAGTAAATACAACAACTTGAATGCACAACTTTGCCTCACACTAGCCAAACATTGCTATTTAAAAAATCAAAAAACAAACGCAACAAAAACAAACAAAGAAAACCTCCAAGAAACAAAGAAAAACCCCAAACCTAAAACCATATCACTCACCAGTTGCTGGAGGATATCATCAGGAACATTTCTTGAGTGATTACAAATAGAAAATGCCGAGGAATGGCTGAAAATTACTGGTGCTTTTGAGATACTCAGTGCAGCTTTTGCTGTGGAATACGAAGTATGAGATAAATCTATCAACATACCCAGGCGATTCATCTCCTTTACCACTTCCTGAAACAGATTTACAGACAACAATGTCAGTATTAAATTTCCTTAAAGGAAACCATTTAGCTGATATATGCAAACAGATAAATAAATTCTGCAGCTGTCAGCTAGTCATTAACATGCTCTGCCTGTATGGGTTTCTATTTACCTATTAATTTAACAGTTGTTTATTCACTCACAATTAACTAGCATGCCAGCACATGCTCAAAATTTATAAAGTTTAGTCAATCTGAAATAAGTAATTTGAACAGTTATTCACATCCCACTACTTCCACATATTAATTCACACTTCTGATCTATATTATAATTGTTATAATTAAATCCAGCAGTTCTTTTACCCTAAGGAACATCACAGGGAACTTGGGTTGACTGAACTCTGATTCCCTTCTAACTATCAAGAGCTTCCAGTGGTTAATTTTTAACAACAAGTTGCTTTTGAAAATATAAGGCCGGAAGTTATTAACTGCATGAGAGATTACTTAGATTGTAATTCAAAAGAGATCCTTACTTGGCCAAATGCAGTCAGACCAATAACAGTAGGATAAAAGTTATGTGTTCCTTTAGATGATGATTCAGACCTTAAAAAGGGGAGGGAGAAGAAACATCATATTATTCTGGAGACTACAATATCAGCAACTGAAACTTCTTATGCTACACACAATAAAAATCATTACCATATCACCTAGCCAAATACAGAGATAATGTGCTACATAATACATATCTTGTTCACACAGTGCTTTTTAAGTTCATTACTGTTTTCTGGACGTTATGCCTTCAGGTTCAGGACTGTTGTACGTTTGTGAAGCAATGCAAGACAAGCAAAGAGATGCCTGTCAGAAATTTTCTGATTAAACAACCCTTCATCAGAGAACAAAGATACTCTGAAATGTCAGTTACCTGTCAGCCAAAAAGCCCGCTTTTCATTCCTCTCTGCTTACAATTCCCCTTTCCCTGAGTCAGTACAAGAAGGAATTTTGTCAACCGAGCAAAGAATAGGTGCTAATATTCTGATACAAGAACTAAGTACCCATCTCTGTAGCTGCATACGAGACCTGCACTTTTGAGCTGTCCAGAGAGGACAGTGTTAAAGGCTGCTGACTCCCGAGTTCTTACATAGCATTTACCCTCTTTTATCTACATCATATGCATTTTTAGTACTTTTTTTTTTTTGGCCTGTTTTGCCCTATGTAACTTTCATAACAAAGCAAAAAGGGATAGCAATTTTACTATCGTCACATTAACAAGGTTTAAAACTTCCTAAATTGTCAGCATAACAAGCACTACATAACAGATCCTTCAGTCTCCCACTTGACACGTAGCAAGTGATTTACCCCAAAAACCTATCATCCTTGGTTCAGAGTCTTTCACAAGTGAACTCTGTGCCTGAATCCATATTTTCCCTATCTTGGAGCTGCCATCACTCTGCATTAGATGGTCACACAAACATATATATGCACATTAGTTACCAA